GCGCCAGAGAGAAATGCACATTTCATTCAAGCAGAGAGCAGTCTGTAGTCTGTTTTCTTTCGTTTTGAATTGTTCTGTTAAAAAGTAGACATGTCAAGCTTTCTATATATTTGTCAGGTCTGTGAGGCAAGTAGCCTACCTTAGGCTATACGCTGAGTTTCGGTTCATTTATTAGATGAGAGTCCAGTTCACGCGCCGGCGCCTCCGTGTCATGATGATTTTCTACTAGCCTATATTTACTTCTTATTTATTAAATCCAGGCAATTGGTTGATGAAACATTGATTAAAATTAAGATACAATTAATTAAAAAACGAAATTTACTTTAAAGAAAGGCTTTGTGCTTTCTGTTTGAGGTCTCTGAAAGTTTTAAAGTCACTTTCAGAGCGGTCATGTCCAACGGAGAACGGTCACGTCAGTAACATTTTTTTTCCCTCATAAATGCGAACACGAAAAAAATAAAAAGAATATTTTGTGTTATGTGTATTAACAGTCTCAAACCAGGACAATTCGATGGTTGTTGTGGTTATGTCGTTATTTCGACATGTGTGCATCATGCAACAATCAAGATGTGCATTTGTGAATCCAGCTATATTTGCTTCTTATTAATTAAATCCAGGCAATTGGTTGATGAAAAATTTATTAGAATTAAGATACAATTTATACAAAACGAAATTCACTTTAAAGAAAGGCTTTCTACAAAACAAAACTTAATGAAGTGGTCAAAATCATGTCTGGCCATGTCTCCCGATATATTGCGTAGGCTATACTTTCATAATCAACATAGATGGAAAAAAACAAACATTATAATAAATATGAAACTAAATGCGCTTATTATGGCTACAACACATACAGACTCTATTTGTACAAATTGCTGCATTCATTTAATTCTGAATTTTGCACACAAGTTAAAAGGCATTTGTTTGTGCATGGTAAAACATATCTGCAACATTTATCAAGTTCACTGATAATTGTGCATGCATTTATTAATCATTATGATACTAAAATCATAATGAAGTAGTAGGCTTCCCTTTCAATAGTCCAAATTCGCGGTGGCGTTGCCATTCTCTTTCTTCTGTGGATTTCTTCAGCTCCTGATTGGTCAAATTCAGATAGATCGACAAATCGGCTCATTCAACCGCACAGCGCACACACCTCACGAATTCAAGCCTACAGCTCCCGAACTTTTTAGACATGTTTAAAAATTATCGTGAGGTCGAGAGGTTCGGCTTGGCTCGTATCTTCCTAGCACACGACACGAGCCGCAACATGCGAGCACAACCGATTTCCACGCGATTTCTCCCGAGTGAAAAAAATCTACGAGCTCGTAAAACAGCAAAAAATCGCACCGTGTAAGCCCAGCCTTAAGGGAGTATGAATATATAAACAGACGTTTCAGTATTCTTAGAATTTATATTTCAAGTTTTGACTGCAAATGTCACGTCCATAACGCTGGAATTGCCCACTTTTAAAGAATTTATCCTCAACTCGTTTTTTTGGTGTAGGTCTACGTATTTTATTATGTTAACTTCAAATAATACTAATAGTAATTTAAAAATGTGGTAGCCCTATGTCCAACACATCACACTCCACTGTTATGGGGGCAATTTCAGTAGATTTACTCACTAACATTGCTGTGGAAACACAATAAGAATGGAAACTAAAATATGGTAGTATCGTGCTACAGCGCACATTATATCAGCTGCAGTTCTGGCGCCTCAGTCCCAATACTGTAAAACTCGACGTCCATTCACATCACATGTTAATGCAGCGGTAACACTCACAGGACACTGCACTTATTCGCAATCACAAAAGTTGATTATTTGCTCGTGCTTTAAAGCTTTGCCGGGTAAACATTTCATTGGCGTTCTGTTCTTGCACTTTTTCTGAGCGCGTACTGAAGCGCGCGCGCACTGTCAAACAGCGCTAAACTGGATTTTTGTTGGGTCAGACCCATCTGATGGCGATGGGGGGCCGAGACCGAGAGAGCTACATGGAAAAAATATGCACCAAACAAGCCACTTTGAAATTTAGCTGTTTTGATGAATACAAAAGTTGGGTGACCCTCCCCTATAGACTAAAAAAAGTTGGATGACCCTCCCCTGAACAAAGAGTAAAAAGACATGACCCTCCCCTATTTTCCTCCGGTGGCCCTTTCCATAAATACCGAACGGTCCCTAACTCGAACCTCTTTCTTATCTATGTAAGCCTTGTTACCTACATAGTATGCTCTCTTTCCCTCTTTGCGTGCCTTTTCTACAAGAGGCCATAACTTGGTGCGTGCTTCTTTGTCTGCAGCGGTCAGATCCTCTTTAAAACAGAGATGTTTTCTATACATTTGCTTTGGTATTTTTACCAAGTCTCTTGCCGTCCGTAAAAGAAACCTAATGATCACTGGTCGGGGTGTGACGTTGTTCTTCATCTCTGGAGGTTTGCCAATCCTGTGGACTACATCGATGGCACCTGTCACAAAGGTGCACTCAGCTTCTTGAAGGATCTCTTTGCATATTTCTTTCACAACGTCTTCTGATCTCTCTCTCGGGCTCCATAAAGACAGTTCCATCGCCTGTTATATCGCTCAGCCTCATTCAACTTCTGCTCCATTTCATGTTTTAAGACATGCACTTTCCTTCTTTAAATCAGTTATCGAGTGACTTTTTGAGTCCTTCGATTTGTAGACTGTTTTGTTTGACTGCCATGTCATTTTAATCGGCTTTTTCGTCGATTTTCACCGTCAGAACGTGAATGATGTTCCCTTGCATCTTAGTCAAAGACGGTTCATTCCCTCCATCATTCTCAGCTTTCTTTGGTGGACGTTTCACTTGAGTATTAGGATTTGTATTACAGGTACCTCCTTCAACCACTTTACAACTATAGGGTCAGTAGAGATCATTAACACACCTTTTTTCTTTCGCAGATTCAGTCTCCATCTCCTTAGTCTTCCATCTTTCGCGGTGTCCGTCGACCCAAGCGGCTGATAAGTACCGTTTGAACAAAACCTGTTGTTAAAAGTGTCTTTACAAAATGCATAACTAGCAATGCTAAGCAACCATACGATTTAAGTCTTATTAGATTAAGTGGACCCTATGTTTCTGTCTCAGCTCAAAATATCACAACCGCTCACGTCGCCATCTTGAGCACCCCTCCACATGTTAGAACATAGATCGATTAATGGCACACGGCCATTACAGTTTTGGGTGTTTTTTATTTATTTATTTACGAAAGCTTCAAGTGCAGTTAATTATTTGTCATGCTATACTTGCAAATAGACGACGGCTGATACAAATTCTGAAGCCATGCTCTCTTGTTTGCCGTCGAACGGTTGACCACTGCCGTGTGTTTATGATGCGGCAAAAACTCCCTCACAACTTAGGAGAATTAATAGTGTGATTAAGGTGTGTACATGTCTATAAGGCGGCGACTCGTGTCTTAATTCGATTTGTGTTTACTTCGAGTATGACTTTAGCCGGATTAAGGTAATCAGAAATCCCTGTTTACATGGTCGTTTCTTAATCAGAGTATTGTGTTAAAGGGATAGTTCACTTTGAAATTAATTTTTGATATGTTTTAGCTTACCTCAAGGGCATCCAAGATGTAGGTGTCTTTGTGTCCACAGTATTTTCAATTTTGATATTTTTAGGTCAAACCGTTCTTGTCTGTCAGTCATATAATGCAGGTCTATGGTAACTTCCTCAAAGAGCATGCACAGAGAAGTCCAAATTAAACATGATTTAATGACTCGTAAATGTAAGTACACATTGATGGCCTAAGACACGAAACGAGCGGTTTGTGTGAGAAAACGAAAAGTATTATATCGTTTTTACCTCTTGTAAACACAGCCACGTCCAAGTGTTCTAAGGGCGCGGGCGCTTCGGTCTTTTCCGGCAAGCGCCGGAAGTGATCTCTCGCGCGTGTACGTCACTCATACAATTTTTTTTTATTTTTATTGTTTTCTTTTTCTTTAAACATCCCGGATAAGCGCAAATTAGTACCCTTTTAATTAGCCGTCTGACCTACAATCTCTGTTCTGTGTAAACAATGCATGATGTATACGCGCGAGAGATCACTTCCGGTGCTTTCCAGAAAAGACCGAAGCCCCCGCGACCTCAGATCACTTGGACGTGGCTGTGTTTACAAGAGGTAAAAACTATATAAATACTGTTCGTTTTCTCACACAAACCGCTCGTTTCGTGTCTTAGGCCATCAATGTGTACTTACATTTACGAGTCATTAAATCATGTTTAATTTGGACTTTTCTGTGCATGCTCTTTGAGGAAGTTACCATAGACCTGCATTATATGACTGACAGACAAGAACGGTTTGACCTAAAAATATCAAAATTGAAAATACTGTGGAAACAAAGACACCTACATCTTGGATGCCCTTGAGGTAAGCTAAAACATATCAAAAATGAATTTCAAAGTGAACTATCCCTTTAATCGGCTTAATATCGGAATATTGTTGTCCATGTAAACATACTGATTGAGTCATTCATTCAAAAGCAAGTGACCGTCTTTATGAAAGGGTCACTGAATCATTCACTTAAATGATTTGTTAAAAAATGCAGATTAATTCAGTAACAAAACACTGCTCTGTGCGTTCTAAATGCATTCTAATGGAGTGAAAGGATACATTCTAAATGCACACGCAGTACCCTGTCCCAGTGTATATAATAAATATATATATATATATATATATATTTTATTTCCCAGGTTTTTTTTTCATCACCCTTAATCAACATTTTTATTTCTAAAAGTATCTTTGAATTAAACGGTGTGATATAATCTATATCGGCTTTATATTGGCATCGGCCATCAAAAAATCCTTCTCAGTCGTGCACTAGCATATCCTGCTAGGCTGCATCAAGCAGTTTTTGTTTGTTTTTTGAAAAGTGAGTGAGACTTGATAACGTCAAAATCACATATAAAACAATAATTGTGATATTGCCGTAGAGGATCGCACACACCCCTATGTGACAGTGATTTGTTTGGTTTTCTTTCAGGGTTTGTATATCAGCGGAGTGATGGGTGATCGGTTCAACCTCCGCTATGTTCTGTCATTCGGTTTATGTGGATCAGCAATCACGGTTGGTATTCTGTAATTAGAGCTGTGAATCAATTCAAATATTTAATTGTGATTAATCTAATATTTTATTAAGTTGAGCTGAATGCATTAAGTATAAAGAAAACCTCTTGGTTACGTTTGGAGCCCTTGTTCCCTGAATAGTAGCTGGTGCTATGGAAACACCCTCCAGGTGGGACCATTACTGGTAAAAAACTACATTATCCTAGCCTGGATGCCAGCCCGAACCCCGCCCACAACATTTTTTGGTCGGGAAGTTCGGTCTGGACTCGATCCATTGAGTAATTATACGTCGGGCCAATCAAATTGCCAGGGCGGGCTTTATACGATGATGGACATGATCTGCAGTTACGTAATCATCACTTTATCAAAGAGCGCTTGGTTTCCCTCAAAGTTGACTGCAGCTGGTGAATTGAGATGTATAGATTCCGCTATCGCGTCTGTTGTAAAAGAAATCGACAGCGCATTAATTTTAAAAGACGAACAGAGAACTGCAATCAAGGCATTTGTCGATCGGAAAGATGTGTTTGCCGTCCTTCCTACGGGACTCTGCAAAAGTTTAATTTATCAGCTGGCTCCGATGGTCGCTAAGAAGAGGGGACGCAATGAAAACCCTGTGGTCGTTGTGGTTTCTCCTTTGGTCGCACTCATGGAGGACCAAGTAAAATAAGCAACACTAATTATTTTACTACTACTTCCAGCGTGCGTGCAGTTGAGTTCTGTTGACAATGCGTAGCTCAACATACGTCACTTACTGCGTTGCTCTGATTGGTTGTAGCCAGGTCTATCCAATTGAGTGCAGAGTTTTTTTTTTCCTGGTTCGGTTAAGACACGCCTCATAATCAAAGCCCTATGGAGCAGTATCAGACTCACATTCTGACTATGACGAAGTCAGGCTAACATTATCCAAGATTCTGCAAAGAATCTCCACCAATCAGAGAATCGAAATAAGCGAGTTGCTGCAGTAGAACTCCTTAGTGTCTGATCAAATTGTTGATCAAAAACAGTTGAACTGTTGTCATCCAAAACGTGGAACGCACAGAACTGACTAAGCGTAATCAGCCAATTAGCTACCGATCGTCAGGACAAGCGGGGGTCTATCATCCAAATAATAATCCAAAAGCTGTCATGAAGCCTGGGCAGATAAAGCTTCTTTAAGAAGAACAATCTGTGGAGTGATGGCACGCACATGTCCTTTTAAAGCAATGATGATGCGGTGCTTCAGAGTGCAACTCTATCACCGTCAGCCAATGAGAAAATTGTCACTCACACATGGTTGGTGTTCCCATAACGTCAGCTACTGACAACAGTGTCGCGCGAACCTATGAAAGGGAACAAAAATTCATGTCTTTATTTAATTACATTCACCCTCTCTTCTCTTTAGGAATTTATTTTTGGCACTTTGACAGAATGGCTTCACTTTTATAATGTGTACTTTTATTGCGTTTTGTGGGTGATAAATGGACTGCTGCAATCTACAGTTTGGCCCTGTGTGGTCGCCATCATGGGCAACTGGTTTGGGAAATCTGGGTAGGTGTCAGGATTTCACATCAGCCTGTAATACACACACATGATTCCAGAAATTCGTGATTATTTAAAAAAATAATTGTATGCATGACTTCAGACTTTCATGCAAACATGCAGAATTTTAATGCAAAAATATCTGCAACTTATCATCCTTGATCTAGTTTAATTAGGTGCTAAATGCTTTGAAATGACACTGTGCAGTGTGTTTTTACAGTGCAAACTTGCCTCCTTTCTTAGGCTTATTAAATGCACTTTAAGCTGTTTTGTACAATTTATGTAGTAAATTGGGTGCTAAAACAATGAAGATAGCATGTGCCAACTCTGGTGTAGTTGCAAAATTCTATTATCTGTCAAATTATGAATATGACTATGAATATAGTCATGATATAGAGTATTTATACTAACAGATGATACACATGATTACACATTAACAACTGATATGCAGGTGCACAAAAAAATATACACCCAATATCAAAACAAAATTGGCATTGTGCATGTGCACCCGTAATTACACCATGATATACTCGTCACGACATGGCATTCTTGCACACGTGGTGGGACACGTGATCAAAAATTTATTTCACCAACATACCTAATGTGTAAGTTTTTCTTTGAGAGAAACTGTATGTTTTGATTTCAAGGAATTCACAGACATGTAACTCTGTTTCCTTATGGCAGTAATTTTGCTTATACATTTGTCATATCTTCTGTCTGCCAGCCGAGGCTTTGTGTTTGGACTCTGGAGTGCATGTGCATCCGTGGGGAATATTCTGGGTGCGTTTCTTGCCTCCAGTGTCCTGAAGTACGGCTATGAGGTAAGAGCACACTACATAACTTCATTTTAGATCACATCAATTAATGTTCCCATGAGGAAAACAGCTTAGTAAGCTAAATAACATCTTAATGTAAATGTCAAAATGCAAAAAGATTTCTGTGAAAGTTAATCTATATTATATTATATTATATTATATTATATTATATTATATTATATTATATTATATTAAAATTCATAAATGTTTATGTGAGGGTTATGCTTAGAGTAGGGGATATATAGTATATAGTCTTAATAAGTGTGTTTTTGAATGTGTGTATGTATGTTTCAGTATGCTTTCCTCGTGACATCAGTGGTGCAGTTTGCGGGTGGTGTGGTGGTGTTTTTTGCCCTGCTCACATCCCCGAAAGAAATTGGTAAGTTCATTATGGACGCTGCTGATTCTTTGCTTCTCAGTGTTTCAGTTTATCAATGCCTCTTTTATTTTTTACATCCATGTACAGTTAAAGTCCCTGTAAAGTCAAAATTAAGTATGTGTTTTGAGTTTGTCACACCACAGAAAAATGTATTATTAGTCACCCAGCCAAATTTGAATGATAAAAAAAGCCAGCAAGTACATAAAATAAGCTATCAAAATCTTGAAAAAATGAGCAGTAATCTCTGCTCTCAAACGCTGGGGGCGTGTCCACTGGCTGCGCTGAAACCACGCCCACTCGCGGGAAAGCTGCCGTCGTCGACTCGCCTCACTCAACTCTACAGCCGGAATGGATGCTCGCACGGTGGGCACGCACTGCCGAATGGCACCAGTTGTCGGCGCGACGGGAGGATGAAGGCTGAGGCGGGAGTCGGTTCGGCCCCATTCACCAGTAACAACGGATTATCAGTAAATCCCAGACAGTTATCTCCGACGAAAGTTTATAGAACTATCCAGTGTAAAATGATCACTTACAGAGGCGGGTTTTGGCAGTGATCCTCAGCTCTCCATCAAGGTGGCTCTTCACAAAATTAATCCACTTCTTCTTGATGTAATCGTTTTTCGGAAATTTAAACAAGAAACCGATCTGTTTTGTACGTGATCCGGTGATCGCATCCAGGTAGTACGCATTTCCGTGACGAAGGCATAGCTAGTAGCTAGCAATCTGTAGGCTGTGTTACTAATAATAGTACTGACAGTAACTCGCGATTGAGCGGCAAACTGATGTGAATGTGCTCTATAATATTGTTAGGAGCGGCCAGCCTCAGTGGCCTCAGTGCGTCATCAAGTAGGGGCGTGTCCAGGAGCTCAAGGGCTCCAGTGCGTCATCGAGCCCTGTTTTAGCCCCGCCCAGAAAATCCGTAAAATATCAATGGTGAAAAACTGTTTAACGGTCTAACTCCACAATTCAGTAATTCACAGTTCACAGTCTTTGTAATATGTTTTAGCAATACATTTCTAACATTTATAATGTGTTTAGAATTTTTTTTTGAAATTGCCTTTACAGGGACTTTAAAGGATTAGTTCACTTCAGAATTATAATTTCCTGACAATTTACTCACCCCCACATCATCCAAGATATTCATGTCTTTCTTTCTTCAGTTGAAACGAAATGAAGGTTTTTGAGGAAAACATTACAGGATTTTTCTCCGTATAGTGGACTTCAACGGGAACCAGTGGTTTGAAGGTCCAGATTGCAGTTTAAATGCAGCTTCAAAGGCTCTACACGAATATGGGTCTTATCTAGCCAAACCATCGGTCATTTAAAAAAATGTTTTTAAAAATAAAATACTTTTTGACTACAAATGCTCGTCTTGCACCAGCTGTGATGCGGCACACATTACGTAATCACGTAGAAAGGTCACGCGTGACGTAGGCAGAAGTACAGACCAAGTGTTTTCAAAGCGTTTACAAAGTGAAGTCGTGGAACGTGCAAGACGAGCATTTGTGGTTAAAAAGTATATATATATATATTTTTTAGAAAATTTATATTTATTTAGAAAATGACTGATGGTTTGGCTAAATAACACCCTTACTCCTTGGCTGGGACTGTGTAGAGCCTTTGAAGCTGCATTTAAACTGCAATTTGGACCCCGTTGAAGTCCAAATTGAATATGTAGAAAAATCCTGGAATGTTTTCCTCAAAAACCTTTATTTCTTTTCGACTGAAGAAAGAAAGACATGAACATCTTGGATGACATGGGGGGTGAGTAAATTATCAGGAAATAACATTTCTGAAGTGAACTACTCCTTTAAGGCCATTTCACACTTACAAAAATGTTTTGCACGAAAATTCATTCTGATTTTCGCATGTGCAAAAAATGTTAGACAGACTGAATGAAAGTGCAAATTCACTGGTTACCTCGGTTACTCTGACACACAAAGCACTTGTCACAGAGATGAAAGGAAGTTACACAGTGTTTGCACGTTTTCAAATAGCCTTTCAGTTTTTTGTATTTACAGTGGTGAAAACCAGGTAGCATCGATGCTCACTATGTTCTCTTAATGGAAATTCTGATGCATGAAACAAATTGTGCAAGCCAACTCAATACACATTATGACATGTGACAGATGTTATTTAATTATATTATAACAGTTATTTAAATATATTTCAGCATAAACAAACATTGTTAGATAGGTAGTGAACATAATCTTGCTACCATTTATAAATAAATTACAGCTGAAACGTTGAAGGGATGTGTAACAATCAAAGTATTTATCATAATTTACTTTTTCGATCTTACACGATCTTGGCAGCTGATTGAGACGCACCCCATGGTTGTATCTTGTATGTAACAGCAGCAGCTCTGGGCATGTGAACAAAAACACACATCTTATTGGTGTTTTTGCAGTGTGATGGAAAAGAGATTAGATCCATAAAAAAATCTTTCTCATTAATGGCATGTAAATGTCTGTGTCGGTCTGATCAGGCACGATAACGGCACAAGTCGTTCATTCATATCCAAATGTTTATCATACTAAATCAACTCTCGGCTCCAATCAAACTCTCAAACGCTATCAATGTCACTTAGAAGCTAGCCAAATTAGACAGATACACATTGTTTATTCATTAACTTTATTTAATTTATGTAGTATTTCATAACTGAATAATACCTACCTGAAAAACTTAAAGCACTATTTATTTAATTTGTATCTTTGTTCTGTTGTATTTATTTGTGCTATTGACTTATTTGTTTATTTGTTATTTTATTTCTGACTGTTTATTTGTCTTTAATATTTTTTAACTTTATATTATTAAGCTAATAATTTTTGCTATGGTGTTGAAATTGGAATGGAGAATAATGAAATTTCATTGGTATCTAATATTTTGGTGTCGTAACAACCTTATTTATTCAAATACAAGGTTACATTGGTCAAAAACAATGTAAACAATGTTTTATTTTTGGTAGCGGGCCAGTAGAAAAACGTTTTTGCGTTGATCCCACAAATGGGCCCCTGTAATATTGAACTTGATGTAAAAGAGTGTTCTCATCTGTTGGTCTCTTTTTAAGGACTAAGTGACCCCTCTGAGACAGGTCTGAGATCAGTGACAAGAGACTCAGACAGTCAGCGTCCTCTGATGAGTGATGATGAAGATGAGTTATGTGAGGAATACTCCTCCATTCAGCAGCAGGAAGAGGAACCTGAACCACAGCCCAAAGCCATCGGCTTCCTACAGGCCTTCTGCCTGCCTGGAGTCCTTCCCGTCTGTGTCCATTTAAAACTCTTCCTTACTTATCCTTATCCATTATTGTCGACTGGATTTGAAATGTATTTATTGTCTGTCTCTTGCAGTATTCCCTGGCTTATGCATGTCTGAAGCTGGTCAACTACTCTTTCTTCTTCTGGCTGCCATTTTATCTCAGCAATAACTTCGGCTGGAAGGAAGTTCAGGCCGACCGACTATCTGTGTGGTATGATGTGGGAGGAATTGTTGGTGAGTACCCAGTTTGGTCTTAAACAGACGTTACCAATCAAGTTTAAGGGCCAGATTTACTAACAGTTTGCGCTACTGTCAGGATTTACTAAAGACACGCAGTGAAAAATTATCGCTTATTACTTTTGCATTTGTAGGAGTTTCACTTTTTCAGGCACAAAATTTATCGGAGGAGAGTATTTAAATGAATCACACAAGGTGATTTACTAAGGTTTGCGCTTGTCAATGTACTGGTGTTTGCACCATTATTTACCGCCCCAAAAAAGCACGTCTTAAACCAGATAGATTACGTTGGTCATTATGTAAATTATCCAGCTGCGTCTGTGTTCTTTAATTTGTGCGTCGTCAGTTGATCACTTGCAGAACTTTCCACTCCCATCGGCGCTGTTTTGGAATGGCGCTCTCACGCTAATTTGCCCTGTTTAGTAAATCTGCCCCTTAGCATTCTCTGACCACTCTGAAAGAAACAACATCACATCTAACTGAAAGATGTTTGCTGTTACCAGTCTTTATCTCATCATTGGAATTACTGAAGAAACTGGTTATTAACCACGTCTTTTTTTTTATTTCTGTCACTGATGGTAAACACAAAACAAAAAATGCACATCATACAGTAGTAACATAGTAACACACTGATCTGTTGGTATCTTTCGGTGTGGTATGAATTGGCCTTTACATCCTCACAAAATTATCTAAATGCACAAATCAACCTGAACTAAATAACATGCTAGTCAAAATGTGTGAGTCACATTGTGAATGGCTCTTTCCGTAACAATGCGCTAAAAAACACGGACAATGTATAACTAAAGCACAAAGAATTTACACTATTGTAATTGACACAATGATGAAATGAAGTGGTTGCAGACACGTGTTAGAAGATAGAAATTAGAGAAAGAGAAGTTGTATATTGTTGCTGTTGGGGGAAACCGTCTAGGTTACGACTGTAACCTCTGTTCCCTGAGAACAGGGAACGAGACATTACGTCAATGACGCTATTGGGGAACGCCCTCCACGTGAACTGGTGTCCGAAAAACTATCCAGTCAAGGCAATCGAACTTGACCAGCGACAGCCTATGACGTCACTAATAGTGCGAACCGGAAGTATAAAAGGGGCACCTAGAGAACATGTCATCCACTTTCGTCACAATCGTTCACAGACCGGATCATAGAGACGGGCATCTTGGAGAGTAGAACTCAGCATAGCGCTCTATAACCCTTGCAAACGAGGAGAGTAACTCAATCCTGGATCTACACAGTGCAATGAAACATTGTGGATGCTGGGCACTCTAACAAGGGGCTCTAGGGCTGGTATAACAGGGAGGCCTCATGAGAGTCCTTCAACCTTCTAACCAGACTTAGGGTAGCTAGGAAAAGAATATATTTGACTATATTATAGCCTCTGGGCTAGAATCAACATGATGAATATTGCTAAAATCCACAACATAGTGGAGCCACCTTCAAAGTGGCCTGTGAAGGCCTGCTACTTGATGCCGATACTTCAATTCAATTATCAACAGCGTCAGCCCATGACAGTGCTAAGGGAGTGTACTCAAACCCGTCCCCAATTAGCCTGGTTAAAACCAGACCATTCTCAGTTGTAACTGAGTTATGGTCTGGCAAAGCGTCATAGACAAATCATTTCCAGAGGGGTGTCACCAACGGATGTCGCGGATAGACCTAAAACCAATCAGAGCGATGAAGGAGATGACGTATGCAGAGCGGTGGAGAAACATCTCCGAGTGTTGTTCTTTGCTCGATTTTTAACAAAAAGGAAACGTTCAAATTGCTTAAAACAGACACGATAGCTGATTCGAACGAGTGATGTTCGACGGCGGCATCCATCTTTGTAATGTAGGCTACAAAATCTGCTTCAAAATCCCAGCACTGTCGTCATCGTGTAAAGCCCGCCCCAACGTTTCTGATTGGTGCCTCGATTTCGACGGATTGAAAATAGGCTTGAATGAGCTTTTTGCCTGACTAACTTTCAGACCAAATCTAAATTTGCCGGAAGTTGTCTGGGTTTTCCCAGGCTAGTCCCCAATCGGAGGGAGTACTAAAATGAGTTGGGCGAATAAACTAAAGCTGTGGGTAGCCAAAACGCGACTACAACGCTACGACAACGCAGTCCTGAAGTGTCGACTAGTCCCTCCCTGTGAAGGCCTCCTTCCCTTTACCTCTGTACAGATAATCGTTGTCAGGATAATTCCGGTTCACGTGGCTACGCCGAAGCGATAAAATTCTGTATTATAAATTTTAAGGCCAGACAAGTAGTTTGTTGAGGGTTTTTTAAAATTTTTTTAGGGAAGGACTACATGCCTGCGCACATATATTCAAACGTGCATACCTATAGAATGAACTCTTAATACGCATGTGCACACCATCAGCGTTCTCACAGGTTTGCGTTTTTAAAGTTTGCGTAGAGAGAACTTAAGAGTTTTCTGTTAAAACGGTGTCGTGTTAGCGGCCCCTAAGTTAATAACTAATGATCGTTGCGACGGAAGTGAATCAATCAAAGCTAACTTTAACTGGAAAATAACTTTATTCTAGAACTGCCATAAAGCCAAAACAATCTGTTACTTTAATTTCCTATTATCACTGTAAAGTCGCTTTGGAACAATCTACATTGTTAAAAGCGCTATATAAATGAAGATAACTTGAATTGGCATGAGAGAGAAACGCCTTTCTCAAACTCCTCAGCGAGCTCCATCTTGGGAACCCCATGATCCGAGTCTCCGCAGTGCCTCAGCACGAGCGGGACCCGAACCACTGGGCCCAGATGCTGGACCGAGAGTGTAGTTTTCTAAGCGGAAAACTCTCACATTCTGCACAATCAGATCCCTCAAGAGCTGATCGAGTGTGCTCTTCACCCAAACAGTAAACGCACAAGTCGTGTGTGTCATTTGAATGAATGAATGAATGAGGCATTTATATAGCGCTTTCATATGTACTACTGTACACCCAAAGCGCTTTACAATCATATCAGGGGTTCTCTCCTCAACCACCACCAGTGTGCAGCATGCCAGCATCCACTTGGATGATGCGATGGCAGCCACAGTACAATGGCGCCAGTGCGCTCACCACACACCAGATATAGTTGGAGAGGAGAGAGAGTGATAGAGCCAATTCAGTGGATGGGGATAATTAGGAGGCCACGTGATTAGCAAGGGCCAATGGGTGGAATGTGGCCAGTGCACCGGGGTTTCACCCCTACTCTTTACGAGAAGTGCCATGGGATTTTTAATGACCACAGAGTCAGGACCTCGGTTTAACATCTCATCCGAAGGACGGTGCTCTTTGACAGTATAGTGTCCCCGTCACTATCCTGGGGTGTTAGGACCCACACAGACCACAGGGTGAGCGCCCCTCACTAACACCTCTTCCAGCAGCAACCTGTTTTTTCTCAGGAGGTCTCCCATCCAGGTACTGACCAGGCTCAACCCTGCTTAGCTTCAGTAGGCAACCAGTCTTGGGCTACAGGGTGATATGGCTGCTGGCCATTTGGTGTCAGAAACCTGAGACTTGGATCCACACACTTCTTGAAACGCTTGTTTTCACTTGCCATAATTCTTACCTTTTTCAGGTGATTTATAAATTAGAAATCAAAACACTCCCTGAAACCGAAAAGAGGATGACATGTTCTCTAGGTGCCCCTTTTATACTTCCCCAAAAGCGTCATCGACACAGTGTGAGTTCCCTTTCGAATGGGAATTTCTATATTTTGTCATTTTTATTTTTATTTTTCATAAACTATTACTATTGGTCACCCTTTACTTTTGTTTGTGAGTTTTAGAACCAATGAAAAGTATTAAAAGGAGCTTGTGACTAAACCTCGTAACCAGAGGTGGGTAGTAACGAAGTACATTTACTTCGTTACATTTACTTGAGTAGTTTTTTGGAAAAATTTTACTTTTAAGAGTAGATTTAATTGTGGGTACTTTTACTTTAACTCGAGTACATTTCTAATGAAAAAACTGTACTTTTACTTCGTTACGTTGGGCGACGTTCCTCCCGTTACTTTATTTTAATTCAATATGTTGTTAAAAGCGTAGTTTTTTCTAAGCGCGCGCTCTCTCTTTTTTCTGGGCATGAGCGATGCTCAATTCACAAATGAATCACTCTTTTGAGTCGATTCTGTTCAAAGACGTCATCAAACAAGTTGGGCGGATCTGTCTAAATCGGTTTGCGAATCAGTTTGAATGATCTGTTCAGTTTCCTGCACGCACTGAATCGTCTCGGAGTCGTAACAGGAAGATTTAAGAACATCAAGAGCGTTGTATGAAGTGGCGGTCCACTGTCTACAGTACAGTCTAGAAAGTAAATCTGCAAATGCATCATATTTTTTGCCAGCGATGAAGATCTTTATTAGTTGAACATCTTCGTATGTTACTTCGTAAGCTGTCTGTGAATGAATTATTCCACACGACGATACATTCGATTTCATTCAGGTAATACATTTTACAACCAAACAGATTATTACGCCATATAGCACTACTACCAAGTATGACATTACCCATTTTTTGGACATATACATTACTTTATAGTTATACATTAAATAAGCTACCATCGTCCAGTTTATGAATGTGTGTACACACACAATGTGTGTATTGCGCAGTGGCGTGCAAACTCGACTTGAAAACGAATGCCGTTGCCTGCCTTATTAGACGCAGTTAACCAGTTTAAAGATGCTTTCATAAATATAGCCTACACTTAAATAGGAGAACAGACAGAAGAATTTCCTTGCATTTTATCGTTGTTTGTGTTGGGCATGACATGACTGCCATCCCTTTACATTTGAATGCAAAACTCCATAGAGTCACTTTATTCCGACATTGTCTAATAATCCAAATGTAGTTGTATAAGTTATTATACTATTATACAAACCAAAGGACAGGCAATGGTTTTCGGGCTATAGATATAATATACAGAAATAATGTTTGTCTCTTCTGTTTTTGTTGCAAAGATAGCTTATCTAATTATGATAATTTTAGTCATTTAAATGAACAAATATCTAAATAATATCATGTTATATATATATATATATATAGGCCTATGTGATCCAAAGTAACTAGTAACTAACTACTTGAGTAGTTTTTTCATTGGATACTTTTTTACTCTTACCTAAGTAACTTTTAAGATTATTACTTTTACTTTTACTTTGAGTAAATATTTCTATAAGTACTTGTACTTTTACTTGAGTACAGTTTTTGGATACTCTACCCACCTCTGCTCGTAACTCCATTGAATCCTAAAACTGTCGGTTAAACTTCAACTTCATTCAAGATTGAGGTGGGTGGAGTTATGAGGTTTTAATCACATTTTGGACTGTCTCTGCAGCTAAAGAACAGCTTTTTTGAATAAATAGCGTTTGCTTTACTCAAGAGACATAGAGATATGAAGGCTAATGTTTTTGTGTATTTGAGGAGTGGAGAAAAGTGTTTTAGTGTAGCATTTCTCATTGAGTCATAGCCAATACTGTTTAATTATTTAAAAAATACAGTGTTTTTTTTTCTCATTTTTTTCTTAAAAGTAGCCTTTTTTGTGGGTTTCCACCTAACAGTTCTTTAACTAGACATGAATACCTGCTGGTAAAACATCTTGATAAAGAAGGAATTATGTAACTGTAATATCTTTGGTTGGGTAAATTTTGTCCAAGCAAAATGAAATTGTACAATGTTTTTGCATATGGTGGTAAATATTTGTTCAAATATTTGGTTTAATTTTGCACTTTCTTGTCAACTAAAATGCTATTTTCCTTGACTAAAATTTTTGTCTAAAATTAATAAAATATCACACGATACATTTTTTAAATATACAGGATACTGCCTGGGTACTACATCTAGTTCTTTTATTCACTTAGTCTGTTCAGTCCATTTGAATGCTTTTGCAAATTGATGGGAAGCTTCTGTATGATTGCTAATAGTATAATGTTGCTCAGCTGTTTTTAACTTTGTTTTATCCCTGAGCAAAGAATAAAGAAGAACTTTGCTGTGAGTATATTGGTGCCTTTAGACCTGAGGTAGTTTGCAAACACAGTTTAAGGATTTTGTTCATCTCTTCTAGGAGGAACAGTACAAGGCTTGATCTCCGATCTTTTGGGAAAGCGAGCTCCTGTGTTGGTAGTCAGTTTGCTGCTGGCCATGGGAGCATTAGTGGGATACAGCCGTAAGTTTAGAGAAGACTAAATCATATTGTCTTGAGAATCTGAGTACCATTTCTGACACTTTCTTTTATTGCTTAATTTGAGAAATGACAGTTGAATAAATGTTTTTTTTTTCTTTTTTTTTTTCTTTCAATGCTTGCTCAGACTCTCCAAATGACCAGATAGTGAATGGAGCTCTATTAGCAACAACAGGTGACACATTATAATATACTGAAACAATTTTTAACTATGAGCTCAGTCAACAGATATTCCTCCTCCCTATCTAAGAATTTATTAACATGGAATATTTCGGAATTATTTTATTTCAGGTTTCCTTATTGGAGGCCCATCAAACATGATCAGTTCAGCAATCTCTGCAGATTTAGGCCGACAGGAGGCGCTGCAGAATAGTCAGCAGGCTCTGGCCACAGTCACAGGAATCGTGGATGGCACAGGCAGCATTGGAGCTGCGGCGGGACAGGTAATGCATCTTCTAAAAGCATGCTTTGAATTGTTCTCTTTGGTTTTAAACCATTAACTTAGTGTCAAACCTCAGATTATTATGGAAGTTTAAAAACATTTTATTGAACCTTGCTGTATTAATGTGGCTCATGAAGTCCAGAATAATCTTTATGCTGCTTTAATAACTTGTACAAAACAATATTAATCAATAATGTCATAGCCCTCTACTCATAATCCAGCAAAAGGAATCAAATCAAGTCCCTATTTCACTGTATTTTCTTTTTTTTTTACTCTGAAATATTTCACACTGCCAAAGTTATATGCATTTTAGTTCTAAGTGTTATGTTTATTTTGTATTTAAAGACATTATTTTCATTGTTATGGACCCTTTTCACATTTCCAGGGTTCTCTGAACCCAGGGTTCTCTTCTCTACAGCAGCCAGAAGAGAAAAATATTTACCATTACTCCCTCGACCATTGTATTAGAAACACCCTCGCAGCGTTAATTTTTTTTTCGTTGTCATTTACTGACAAGGTTGAATTATTATTAGAAAATAATGGACACCCGAGGTGGTGATGCGGCCACAATTCAAAGCGGATTATTTTCTAATAATTCAATGGACTAGGAGTCCATTATTTCGCTTATACTACGGTTACCACACCTCAAGACATTGTCCAAATGTTGTATTTCAAGTCCTTAAACCTGTTTTTGTCCTTAAAACACTCTTGTGTGTTGGACTAATTTCTTACAGATCTCATCTCTCGCCTCCATTGCTAATTCCAAAATGTCATTGTAGAGCTAGTAACAGAGGCTTGAGCCATTTATAGCAGTCTAATGCAGTTATTAAAGAGAGGGAGAGAGAGAGATTAAGCGGGTGTGAATTACCTGAGAGTCTGCGCATCTCAACATTGTTTCGGCACCAGCGTCTCTACAAATAGCAAAATTGTAAATTTATAGTGGGGCGCTGTTGGACACCGAGCATGTAGGACGTGTCTCCCTTTTGCTCCGTTTGTTTTTATTTTAACTTTTTAACACAGTATTTTAACTTTTTAACACAGTAGTTTCTTTTCACTAATTTGGCCGGTGTACATTTGTGACAAGCACTAGGTCAGTTTTGGTGTGTTTTGGGGGAATTTCAATCGACAATGTCAGCTGCACGTGGAAACTCGGCTCGGCTTTGCGGAAAAATAGACTCTTGCGAGCTTCGAGCGGGCATTTCTTCGGTAAGAGAGGAGCTTAGACACGCAATTGAACCGATGCAACAAAAACTTAGCTCTCATGATCAAGCTATCACAGAGTTGCAGCGCGCGTGCACTGACCATTGTGACCTGCTAACTTCACTGGATTCAACAGTTTCCACGCTGAAAGCCGAGGTTAAACTGCTGGCCGACAAATGTGAGGACTTGAAGGGTAGAGCGAGGAGGAACAACATACGGCTGGTAGGTGTGCCGGAGGGGGCCGAAGGTGGGCGCCCAACCGAATTTATTGCACAGCTGCTGATGGACTCCCTCGGTCTGGGGGAGTTGCCCCTACTCGATCGTGCGCATCGCACTCTCCGATCCAAGCCCAGTGATGGTAAACCACACCGACCCTTTGTGATTCGTGTGCACTTTTTTCACGTGAGGAATGACATTTTACGCCGGGCTAGCGAGGCTCCTCTTCTCCATCAAGGCAAGAAACTATTTCTCTTTCCTGACTACACTTCGTCAGTTGCGAAGAAACGCGCTGCATTCACTGACGTTAAACGTCTGGTACATTCGTGTTATGGAGTGAAGTTTGGATTGAGGTTTCCCGCGACTTTAAAGATCACTCTTCCCGGTGGAGTTACACACATCTTTGAGGACCCAGCCACTGCAATGGACATTGTCAAGGTGAACTTAAAGTCTGGTGTCTCTTCTGGAGCTACAATTTGAAAGCGGCTGTCAGTTTGTTTGGTAAACTGGGGGTTAATTTAACCCGGTTTCTGATGTTAAGCTGTCCTGCTTTAAGTTCGTGTCACTTGAGCCCCTTTCACACAGCGCGTTGATCCCGGGAAATTGCCAGAACGCCTTCTGTGTGAACGCAAACACGACTCGGGATTGATGCCGGGATCGATGCCGGGTTGGGGACCTAGTAACATTGCCGGGATCAGTCCCGGAACGCGCGCTGTGTGAACAAAAGCCGTAACCAGTGCCGTGTCGTAATGATGATGCTGAAGTGAAAGCAGGCTAGTGAAACGGTACGTAATGCGCTAGTTTATGATCGAATCGGAGAAAAAAATGCACAAGCGTGGTTTCTCCAGAGAGAAATCGCAGCTCATAAGCAAACTATACACGCTGCTGAGACATTACATGTCACATCGATGTCACGTGTCTTTACGTGGGGTGGTGGGTGGGTGTGTGAGGAGTTCTCCCTTTTTCTCTCGTTGTGTGTTTTGTGTTTTGTTTAGTCAGGTCGCCCATATTTTAATTTATTTCTGTGACTGTTATACATTCCATGCTGCAGTGTACACTAATACTTGACTGGCATGCAGCAGTCTAGGATGCCTCGACAATCAGGGACAGGACTCAAATTTGTTAGCTGGAATTGTAATGGTCTAAATCAGCCTATTAAATGTAGCAAAGTTCTTCACCATCTTAAACAATTAGGAGCCCATATTGTTTTCCTTCAAGAAACTTACTTAAAATCTTCCAGCCATATCAGATTAAAGGGGAGGTGGGTCAGTCAAGTTTTTCATTCTAGTTTTAATTGTAAATCTAGGGGTGTTGCAATTTTGATTCACAAATCGGTTCCTTTTGTGTGCTGCTCTAATGTAATATCTGACCCCAATGGAAGGTTTGTGTTTGTAACGGGTCAGCTATATAGTAATTCTGTGATTCTGGCTAATGTGTATGGTCCAAACTGGGATGATGACAATTTTTTCCATCAATTGTTCGCCAAATTAACTGACATGTCCACACATCTACTTATTATGGGGGGTGACTTCAACTGTTGGCTTAATCCGGTATTAGATCGTTCTTCTACTAGACCAGGAGTGCCCTCAAAGTCTTCTAAGACCATTTTATCCTATATGGATGAGTTCTTGGTCTCTGATCCATGGCGCTTTCTTAATCCGTCTGGTAAATTGTATTATTTTTTTCTCTCATGTACATCACTCCTTTTCTTGTATTGATTATTTTCTCCTGGACAACCGCTTTCTCCATTCTGTTCAGTCTTGCTCTTATTATACTATTCTAATATCAGATCATGCCCCGACCACACTGGAGTTATTCATACAGGAGCGTGAACGTACGTGCCCCCCTTGGCGTCTCAATACGCGCCTGCTATCTAATGAGGATTTTGTTAATTTTGTTTCTAATCAAATTGACTTTTTTCTTACTACCAACAGTACTCCAGGGATCTCAGCCTCCCTTCTTTGGGAGACTTTGAAAGCATACATTAGAGGTGAAATTATTTCATACAGTAGCTATGAGAACAAACAAAGGAAAATAAATAAATAAAGGAATTGAGGTTACGAATCTCCCAGCTTGATAATATCTATGCTTCCTCCCCATCCCCTAACATATATAAGAATCAGCTCTCTCTTCAGGCTGAGTTCGATGTTCTTTCTACTAAAGAGGTTGAGGAGCTCTTATTTAAGGCTAAATATTGTTATTATGAATCTGGGGATAAGGCGACCAAACTTTTGGCCCATCAGCTTCGACAGGCTTCCTCCTCTCAGCAGATTTCACAAATTAATACTCCTTCTGGCGTCACTACCGATCCTAAAAAAATTAATGATCAGTTTAAACTGGTACTCTTCTTTATATACTTCTGAGGTTGGGTCTGATCTGTCTGCCCTGGATAGTTTTTTTTGACTCACTGGAGTTGGTTAAGGTAGATGCTGATATAGCTGAGCAGTTAGAGGGCCCAATCACCATAGATGACCTTAAACAGGCAACATTTTCTATGCAGTCTGGAAAATGTCCAGGCCCGGATGGTTTTCCGACGGAGTTTTACAAGACCTTTTTTGACAAATTAGCACCAGTTTTGATAGAAATGTTAAATGAATCTCTTACTCTTTCTAAATTACCTCAGACTCTAAATCAGGCCTCCATATCATTACTCTTAAAAAAGAATAAGGACCCTCTGTCCTGCTCCAGTTATCGTCCAATTAGTCTTTTATCTGTAGATGTAAAACTTCTGTCCAAATTATTAGCTTTGCGACTGGAATCAGTTTTGCCTTTAATGATCTCCTGATCAGACAGGTTTTGTCCAGAACAGACATGGGTTCTTTAATCTCAGACGACTTCTCAGTGTTGTTTATAATCCTTCTACGTCAATGGGGCCGGAAGCCGTAATCTCATTAGACTCGGAGAAGGCTTTTGACAGAGTGGAGTGGAACTACCTTTTCTACGCTTTGGAGAAATTTGGTTTTGGCCAGGAGTTCATTTCTTGGATTAAGTTGCTCTATTCATCCCCTGTGGCTTCAGTCAGAACTAATGACACCCATTCAGAGTATTTCCCTTTGCACCGCTCCACTCGTCAAGGCTGTCCTCTGAGTCCTCTTTTATTTGCTGTTGCTATTGAACCTCTGGCTACTGCGCTTCGTTCAGAGCCACGCATCACTGGAATTACAAGATATGGTCTTGAACAGAAGGTCACCCTCTATGCTGATGACTTATTACTATATGTGTCCAATCTCTCTATCTCAGTTCTTATCTTAGTTCATTTGGTCAGATTTCAGGCTATAAACTAAATTTGGACAAGAGTGAGCTGTTTCCTTTAAATCAAGGTGCCCAGAATACTGCTCAGGGTTTCCCATTCAAAATTGTTCCATTTGGCTTTAAATACCTTGGTATCTGGATTTGTGACTGATTTGAAGATTTGTTTGATTATAATTTTGCCCCTTTGTTAGATCAGATACGGATAGACTTTCAACGGTGGTCACTGTTGCCTCTTTCCCTTGTGGCCAAGGTCAATTCGGTTAAGATGAATATCCTTCCCAAATTGTCTTATCTCTTCCAGTGCATACCTATCTTTCTCCCTCAGTCTTTTTT